CATGGTCGTGTTAGAAAAGCTGTTTTTGACCTCAGTTGAATTGAATGATTTGATTTGGTGCACCAATCACCAATCAATCATCATTCTTGTAACAGCAACCATGGAAGATACTAATGGAAGGAGCCACAACACTATTGTTTTAGCTTTACCCTATGATCGATTGTCAATCTTTGTTTACAAACATTGGTTCTTGTTCGCTCTTAGCACCTCCTGGTGTCTAGTTTGAATGATGTTGTTTCCGGAGGTCTTGGTTAATGAAGAATTGGCAGATACAACATTGATTGAAGAAAACTGATAAACTATCATGAATCTTTTTGTATTTGTAATGGTGATGAGACTGAATCAATGATTGTCTGTGACAATAATGATTGCATTAGTTCAATACACAGTCCCTCCATACCCGGTTGGGAAATGCTATTATTCTAAGATGTGAATCACCCAAGTCCCCTGTGTGTCCGGGGTTCAGCTTGAAACAAAAATCTAAATTTTCGACCACCGGACATTGGCAGACACTGCCAGAAAAGATAATATCAAAAGAAGGGCTTACATAGACACTTTCTCTGCGGTAATATTTGTTAGAAGTCCTTGGGAATTTTTGTTGTAGACAGTTGTTAGAGTTGCTAATAATTAAAACATGTGAAATCTGTGAAGTCAAACATTCATCTGCTGAATTTCCACTTGTGAAATGCTTAGTTTGACCTTTTACATCTAAACAAACAGAGTGCTCATGTGTGATGACCGTAGCTTCATAATGCGCATATATTTTATGATCATATTAAAATATTCTCATTAACTATCATCGGCATCAAAGATGAGCTACACAATGTCCTTATTAGGATTAACTTTGGTTGAAACAAAGGAAATAAGCCAGTTAAGAGGCTTAAGTGGCCACTTGAGAGGCGTTGTGGCTCCTTCCGTTAGTACCTTCCATGCAGTAACTCACATCCATTTCAAATTTAAACCAACAGATTTTGTTGTCTTATATCATGTCAAAGCATAGCTTATCTGATAAATTCATGTTCCATTTGTCATGGAAACGCAAGCACTATTTGATTTCGTCAACAGTGAATACAAGTGCAGTGGGAATTCTGCCAAGGAATATTGGTGTGAAGAAGGCCGAATTTTTGGACCTTGACTGGCGAACACAAAATAATATTGGGGTGGGGGTGAGGGGCTTTACTGACTATCGTATTTGTTAAATCATAATGTACTGTATAACTATTTAATTTCACTGTTTTGATGTTTTGAGCAATATTCATTGCAGTTAAAATCCATAGGGGAAAAACAATTTGATCTGTCATCCAGAGATTCTCTAAAATTTACTATGCATGCTACTACCAGTATAACAACCTATGCATGTACATGTATATAATCTGAAAGCTTAGATTTATTTTAAAATGGTAGTGCATATATGTCATACCACTGTATTTAACAGATGGTCACTTTCATTGATTAATCGACAGTCCCTCTACAAACCGGTCTGGAAACGGACCGTATTTTTTTGAAACAGTGCTCGTCACTGGTAAATAAACGATTCACACCTGCAGATTAGCGTGCATATCATTAGCGTTTTTTTGACCCTCCAGTGACGGATTTCGACCATGTTAAATGACCAGAATGCAAAACGCCTGACTTTGAACGCATGTAT